TTCTTCCCATATGTTCAATCTGTTTTGCCAATTTAGTCACAAATCCATAAGTAAATAAATTATTATTTAATCTGCAGTGTAATTAATAAGTTCCTATTCTTTTAATGACTCAGAGAATTAAATAGTATTTTATACTTATTCTCGTTAGCAAGTAGCCTTTTTTTTTTTTTTTAAATAAAAGATATTCTGTTAAGTGAACGGAAAAAAAAAAAAATCCACTTTGCCTTTTTTTTTTTTTTTTTTTATTATTCTCAACTTATAGTCTATAATTTCTTTTCAAAGGAAAATTGTAGTCTCACTTTTACAGTTTTTTTAAAAAAAGCGATTAATTCTTATTCACGTTTTGCCTGCTTAATTGCTCGCTTCTAATCTCTCAAGATACAATTGCAAGTGCTGGACGGCAACAGGGAGACCCATTGGCGGCGGCTTTCCAACGAAGGTGGCAAAGCGAAAGCCTTTATTCCTCTTGCTAACACCCTTTTTTTTTTTTTTTTTTACGTATTATCTCAAATTATAGTCTTATTTCTTTTCAAAGAAAATTGTAGTCTCATTTTTAGTTTTTTAAAAAAGGATAATTCTTTTAGTTTTGTATTGTGCTTCTATTTAATGTACATATGCAATAGCTGGGACGGCAACAGGACCCATTGGCGGGCTTTACCAACGAATTGGTGGCAAGCAAAGCTTTATTCCTCATTGCTATCCTAAACAAGGATTAGTTCCATCCGCATTAGTGGTGGGAACATCTCGTAATTTATATTTATGTATATATATATATATATAGTGATCTTCTTCCTAATGATTTCAAGTTTGAATCCTCAGCTATAATTTCATAAACTATTTTACTTTGTGTAACTCTAATGTTATTCTGACTAATTGAGTGTGAATCAAATAAAAATCCTAAAATAAATATCTATATTTTACACAATTTCAATTTGTCATCTTTTGTCATTTCAACTTTAATTTTTATTTTAACAGGAAATAAATGCCGCTGGAATCGGTAATTGAAATGACAATATGACACTAAATATTACACTTTTCATAAAAAAAATATGATACGAAGAAATAAAGGAAATAGAAGAAAAAATGCTACAAGGTATAAATAGTAGAGTATAAATTCATTTTCTTTTTTATTTTTTATGAACTTGTTTCATGTAAATAGTGTTATTTTGTTGAATAAATTAATATATAGATTTCAAATAAATATATTAGGAGAAAATATGATTTTTTTTTAAAATGAAATATTTTATTTTTAGTACCAAGTCAGTATTATCTATGTCTGAATTTCAATGGATGACCTTCCGTTGAAATAAAAATCAAAGTTTGGATGACTGAAAAATAATAAATTAAGATTATATAACATTATGAAATTAAGTGTTAAGTTAAATCATCTTTTATATAATTTACCTATGTTTACTATTTCGAATGTAACGACCCTAATTGGATTACGAGTCCAAATACACTTTTTCAAGTTAAGTTATGAGATAAGCATTAAGAAGTTGAAAATTGGGTGCAACTACATGTGATCTCAAAGTTTAGAATAGAAATATTAGCAGCATTGTGGGGTCCAAAAACTATTATAATTGCTCTCCTCGTCTTAAAATTATAGTCTCAATTTTTTTATACAGTTTAAAAATATTTATTTAAATTATAATTTTTTATATTTTTCTATATATACTGTATATTAATGATTCTTAAGACTCTCAAAATAGGATGAATAATTAGTATATCAAAATTCATAATTAATTATCTTAAGATTTCTTTCCACTATCCAGCAAATTTAACTAATATTAATTATTCATATGCATTATTATATAAAGATAGTATGTAAAGATGAAAAATATTTCTAAAAAGAGTATTATTTTGGGACAATAAGAAAAGAACCCGAGATTATAATTTTAGGACTGAAAAAATAATATTTAAAACAAACTTTAAGCTTGCTAGGAACGATACTGTTTTAGACAAAGAAAAGGGAAAGCTGACTTCGTGGATTGTAATGGATCTTGGGCTTGGGAAAAATTTTGTTTATTTCTACCCCATACTATTATTACTTGCATTGCAGTTGTCCTTCCACCTCTCACGAAAGAGGTAATGATGACAATTATTGGAGCCGTACTAATTTTGGAATGTTTCCATTAAATCAGTTTACAACTGGCTTACACAGGCTCAAGTCACCAACCATCAAAAGAATAGAATCCAATATGTAAATTGAGGGGTCCTTAGCGAGTGAGAATTTTTTTTATGGCTAGCTATGCACCTAAGAATTCTTATAAACGTTGAGCGATGTAAAAGACATTTATACTCCTCTCCTCCTGGTTCGGCATGTCCGGGAATGAATGAAAGGGGTTCTTCGTATTTTGAGGGATTGCTGTTATGTAAAGCAGGCCTAGCTAGTATGACTTACAGCAACCTAAGCCGTCTTTTTTCTTAGATTCTCAAGTTACGATCAAGGAGTGGTTGCTCAATAATCTGAACACAAAGCTGCTACACAATTCGGGTGAATCTTAGTCTACTATTTAAAAAATCTGGGACATGTAACGATCCATGGATTGATTATGGAAGTGTATAGCTTGGCCAAAGATATTTCTCAAGCGGGTGATGATATGGGCAAATCCGACATTCTCGCTACCCACAAAAAGACATCTTGGATTGCTTAGAACCCGTCTCTCCCTAATATTATCAAACTTAATATAGGTGGGCTGTGGTAGGAAACATGGCCTGTGATGGTGGACTTCTCCGTAATAATGAAGGCAGGTGGCTGAAAGGTTTCATCTCCAAAATAGGGACCTACTCCATCGCTAATGCTGAACTTTGGGCTGTCATGGGAGGGTTATATCTTGATAAGAACTTAGGGATCCAACGCTTGCAAGTCAAATGCGATAGCTTGGTGGTCCAATTCCTTAAAGGAGTTACACAATCTTCTCGTGCTCTCCAATAATTAGTTATTGCCATTCAATATCTTACTCACCATTTCAGCAGCTGTGAAATCAGTCATATTTATAGAGAAGCGAATTTTTATACCAACTTCCTTTCTAAAGTTGTTAAAGACTACTGTTAGACACTCTTTCGAGTCCCCCTCCTAGTTTGTCTTCATGGATACTGCATGATAATGCGGGTACAAACATACCTAAGACCTATTTTGTATCATTAAGAGCTTTCTCTCTCCTTATTTATCCAAAAAAAAAAAAAAAAACCTTCCTCTGCTCCTTATTTATGTCCAAAAGAAAAGAAAAAAAAGAGAGAGAGAGAAGTTAGAAAAATAGATAGAGAGTGGTTAATAATTTGGTTTTACGATTAAAATGTTAGCCATTTTGATTATTTAATTTCTTCCTTAAGCCAAATTGGACCCTCTTGAGATAAAAAAAAAAAAAAAAAGAGAGAGAGAGAAGTTAGAAAAATAGATAGAGAGATGGTTAATAATTTGTTTACGATTAAAATGTTAGCCATTTTATTTATTTATTTCTCCTTAGCCATTGACTCTCTTGAATCTATCCACTCAATTTTTTGATAAAAATTTAAGTAAAAACAAATATTTTTTATATTATAATAACAAAAAAAAAAAAACAGTGTTACACTATTAATTAAATAGTTTTAAATTGAATTTTTTTTTAAGGCTAACAACTTTAGGCAAAAAATATTTACATGAGCCCATTTAAAAATAATAATATTTGATTTGAGCTACGAGTTTAATAAAAAAATTTAAATTAAACATAAAGTAAGATATTTCATAATAGAAATAAGTTTTGAAATAATGATTTGAGCATGCAAATACAAGCTTAATTTAGAGTTTAGTAAATAAATTTATGTAGATTCACAATAATTCCAAGCACTTTTATTAATTTAATTTAATACTAAATAAAATCTTAAATTATACTTATGTTTAATAAGTGGATAAGAGGTGTAGCTCATAAGATAAAAAAGAAAAGGAAGAAAGCCTAGAAGCTTGGGAATTGGGTTATGGGCTGTTCCAGTTACGAGAAAAGCCAGCAGCAGCAGCAGAAGTTTCCTTGTCTTATAACGACCCAATTTTAGAGTTATGCTATTATGATTTACAGTTAGAGAAATCGTAAAACTATTAAGAATTTTTCAAATTCGCATAAACTTGAGTACTAACTCAGCAACATCTCTAGTGGGGATTTTGGGTTTGATGATCAATGATAAGTTATCTTTCTTCATCGCATAGCCCTCATAAAACTGCTCCTTTGATCAAAGATAACTAATTTGGGTAACAGTTATTGTCTCTTTTTCTTTCCTTCTCTTACCTACTTGGTTTTTTTGCTTTTTTATGTTTTTTTTGTTCTGTTGAGTGAATGTTTTTCTATTTTGATTTATACCGCAATTGTCCTTAGCCCCGTTGACCTAGGTTTAATTCCACTAGCGTCGCGTCAAGCCATAAGAGAGAAACCTTTCCAACAGATAATTTCTCAATTCACAACAATTGAACATTGAACCTCTTGCTTAATGAACTGAGTTGTTTTCACTAGTACCAACCCCGTTGGTGATGGTGTTGTTGAGTGAAGGTTTTTCTCATGTTATTTTTCTATAAACAGACATTATTTGTGAATTCTAAAATGATAAGGAGTTTTTAGTTTGGTTATGTTGGAATTGTTAGTGATGTTTTGCTGGAGGCAGTTTATTAACGTTCAAACAATTTTTTCAATTTGAAACATGAGGTGTACAATCAGATGGCTGTCTGCAACCTACTCGGTGCTCAAGTAAGCCAATGATCAATAAACACTTGATTGCAAAAACAATTAATGTTTGACACACCTAACCACAACTTTTTTTCTTATTAGAAACAAGAATAGCAAAAATTGAGAAATTGAGACAATTAACCCTTCTGTTTTTCTTCCAAACAAATAGAGCAAAAGATTGAAAATTTTCATTTGAAATCATTCCTCCATCACCAGAGATCTTAGCTTATACAACAAATCAACAAGGTTTCTCATAACATTTCCCTAAATGCAAAATAGGAGTATAGGATATCTTTACCATTCCAATTATTGAAATTAAAAAAGAAAACTCTATTTGGATTGATCTCAAATATATCACTGGAAATTCTCTCCAATGTTCAAGAAAATTTGTCACATGTCAAATTTTGCTTTGACGTTTACCAATCTTCTAATCATTTCGAAAACTTATATATATTACAAAAATCAATTAAAAAAAAGGGGAAAAAGAAATAAAGACAATGGAAATACAATATCCCCAAAATCACTATCCCATGTATAGCCAAAACCGAACAAGCTAACAGAGGGTAAGAGAAAGAAATATACACACTCTTGAGTGTTTGAAATTGGCAAGTCCCTTTGAGTCATTTGATCAACATTATATATGCATTTGAGGAAGATGACTCTGCTCCTCAGCTGTGGAAATTGTGCTACTATCTGCCTGGAAGTGTCCAGTCCAGGCCAATCGTTAGTTACAAGGGTATAATTGGCAAATGAGCAAAACTGCTATTATAAAATAGGCTGCACCAGCACTAGTTAGTTGCACTTGAACTACACCTGGGGATGATGCGCTACTTGTATATTTGCTTGATATATACATCATTGTCTTGTTTACCAGTGGTAGTTGTGCCCCATCTTTTCGTCTTCCCAGCAATTTCTGGCTGCAGATATCCGCAGAAATTATGTACTTGTGTATATGAAACCATGTAGTGAAGACAAATTTACAATGTAAAAAGAATAAAAAAAAAACAATTTTAATGCTAGCAATGCATAGCGTAAAACCAACGTGCATAAAATGCAAATTGGAATGTTTTAACGTGTAACCTTTAAACCTTAAGGAAATGAAATGAGCTGTTGCTTTTAAGATAAGGATCTAACTGGAATTAACTCTCTTTGATATGAGATACAGGCTGTATATATCCCTATGCTTCAGTAGTTGAACAAAAAAGAGAGATCCTTCAATAAGACCACTAGACTAATTCAACATTTTCTTTTCAAAAGAATAAATTAAATAAATACTATATTTCAGCCATTATTTTAAGTAATAAGGAAGAGAAATCTAAACTTAATTTATATGCAAATAACATGTACACTTTGTTGCAATTCTAATATCAGCGCGATATCATATGGTACCTTAAACTATACAAATATATATTAATCCCTTTAGAAGATATATTTCCAATTGGCTCGGTTATTAGAGAAACTTTTAGGTAGACTATGTCTATAACATTAGCAATAGACTAACTCCATAATTTAACGCCACATCATGTTATCTTAAGAAATTCATTGACAAACTTATTAAAAGGTAAAAGAGAAGCAAACTACGTAGAGAAGTCAATACCCTTCTTCTCTCTAACCAAGCAGCCCAGAACAGCAAAGGGAAATAACAGGAAAAGGGAAAGAACAAACAAGAAAACCTTTAGCAGGATTTGCACATTCCTTAAAAAATTAGTGTATAAAAGCAAAGGGAAAAAACAAACAAGAAAAGCGCTTGCAAGTTTTGCAATTCCTTCAAATTGCAGTGCAGAAAAGCAAAGGGAAACAACAGTGAATTTACCTCAATGGTTTTTTTTTTAAAGACAAATTTCTTTTATGATTTGATGATTTCTGAAAAATTTTTTAACAGAATACTAGTAAAACAACTAACAGCTATTATAACAAATAAGGGCAGACAAGACTCTTATCCCTGTCCCAAAAATCTGCCTCTAATAGGGTCACAGAAAACCAGTCATTATTGCTGCTCTTCCTGAATGGAATCCAGCCTTGCCCGAACCTTAGTCCATCTTCCATGAACTGGAAGCAAACGAGAAAAAGGGAAGCCGGGAAAGTAGCCTCTTCAGAATCATAGTTCCTAGGCACATTCATTATTGATTCACATTCTATCCTCGGACAGGAAGTCGCAAAGCTCTTTTGTCAGCTTAGCGTCTTGAAGGTTTGTTCAAAATCAAAATCCTGATCTGACCATGCTTTCGTTGAGTTAATTATGTCAAAACTGTTGGGATTCTAACTGATCCCGAGTGGGTAGGCATGGCCACCGGTTCGGTTCGAACCGGAACCGAACCGTACTGTAGATGAACCGGAATCGGTGGTTCATAATTTTGAACCGGAACCGACGGTTCAAGGGCGGTTAAGGTTCATGTGAATCTTAAAATATGAACCGAAACCGGTGGTTCCGGTCCGGTTCGAACCGGATGCACAAAAAAATTGTAACTTAAAATTTTTATAAAAAAATTTATATTAATGAACGCGGATCGGTGGTTCATAATTTTTGAACCGGACCGCGGTTCAAGGGCGTTAAGGGTTTATGTGGAATCTTAAAGATATGAAACCGAACCGGTGGTTCCGGTCCCGGTTCGAACCGGAATGGCACAAAAAGAAATTGTAACTTTAAATTTTTATAAAAAAAATTTTATATTAGCTTGATTTTGAAAATTGTAAGTTGATTGTGATTTATGGTGAAGAGAAGTACAATGGTACAATAAGTTAAAAAAAGTGGTGAAAAAAATACACATGTTTTTACGCTTATGTATCAAATGGTACATGGATAGTTTGATTTATAAAAAAAAAAAAAAAAAAAAACCTTTCCAAAGTGGTATAAAAAAAGAGTGTACGAGATAGGTTTTTGATATAATAAGGTGTTTTTTTTTGATTTATTTTTGGTTAAATAAATTTTATTCATTTTTTTTAATCATTTATTTATTTATTTATGTAATTTACTATTATCTAAAAATATGTTGTGTATTATTTTTCTATTATAGAGGGACAATTGTGGGAAACCTAATAAAATGAGAAAACATGTATAAATATGATGAGTTGAAATGAATTTTTATTTCCACAATCAATTATTCATAACGTCTTGCTCTTATTCTGCGAATCAAAATTCTCTCATAATTTCCATATTTCATTATTTTTTCTATTTGCTTTTATTTTTTTCTTAAATATTGAAATTATCTATTGTTATTTTTTACATTTTCTTAGCATCTATTCCAATTTTTTATCTTTCCTCTAATCTAGATTTTTTCCATTCCATAAATTTACTTCATTTGATTTTATTAATAATGTTTCTGTAGTAATTTTGAAATAATATTTCCAAACTCATTTCATTAATTTTATATTCCATTTATGTTTTTCTATAATTAGAGAATTAAGCAAAATTTGTAAATTTTAATATAATTAATAGTTGCTAAGTTAGTTTAATAGAAGTTTTGTTTTTTGTTTTTTTTAATTTTATATATTTATTTAGTTATAAAATTTGTAACATTTTAAAATTATTGATTTATGTTAATGAATTCGGAAATCACAAATTTTTTATGAATTCGGAATCAAAATTTTATTATTTTTTTAAAAATTTGCATAATGCCAGAACCGAATCGGAACCGTAATTCGAACCGTCGGTTTGCCGAAACCGTGCCAAAACCGAAACCGGACTGGAATCAGAGGTTCAAGGGTCGGTTTCGGTTTAAAATTTTAAACATCTCGAACCGGCGGTTCAGTGAACCGGAATCGGCGGTTCACTGAACCGGCCATGCCTACGAGTGGGGCCCGCAGAAAAATACTAGTGGTAAAAGTAAAATAAAATTACTATTACCACATATACCTTCAATAATTTCGTATTGGATATTGACAATCAAATCCATCAGAAATAATTACTACGGTAAAAAAATTAAATAATTATCGTAAATGCCAGATGAAAAATAAGAACACCGAGATTTACGTGGTTCACCCTTCAATTGTTATGGATTATGTCCACGGGACAAAAACTCCAAATAATTCTTCCATTAAAAATAGTAGGTACAAAAGAGAATACAAAAATAGTGGCACTCTAAGTGTTTTCCAAAAACACCCCAAAAATTATAATCCTCAATGTATAAATCCTCTCACTATTTTCTCTCTTTTCCCACTATTTTCTCTCTTTCCCAATTTTAGGAACATTTTCCTAAAATTCTTTACACTCAATTGTGTATTCCTATTCTATGTTTTTGTACGATCTGTTGAGGGAAAACCTTCTCCTATAGGAGAAGGGGATGCGTTATTAACGCGTCCACCGAATGGACGCGTTAATCACGCGTCCACTTTTTTTTTCTTTTTCCTTTCTTTCGCAGCCTCCTTTGAACAACAAAAATAAACGTGCCCTTTTTTTTTTCTTTGTTCAAACTTGTATGGGTCCCACATGCTAGAGAGATGAGAAAATGCTACCATTGTGGTAAGGAGGGTCATTTCAAAAGAAATTGTCATTTACTCAAATAGGAGCATGCAAACTGAAGACGAGAATGATAGAAATACATCTGCTACAGCCTCAGGAGAAGATGGTGAGGTGTCACTCATGATGCAGATTGCTGTCATGTTGGAGATGCAGATACTGAGTGGATAGTAGACTCTGGTGCTTCATACCACTGTGTTCCCAAAAGGAAATACTTTTCCACTTATAAAGCATGAGACTTTGGCACTATTAAAATGGGAAATAATAGTGTCTCACACACTATTAAATGGGAAAATAATAGTGTCTCACAAGTGGTGGGAATTGGTGATATCTGTATAAAGACAAGTGTCGGGTGCACATTAACTCTTAAAAATGTGAGACATATTCCCAATCTTCGGTTGAACCTGTTGTCTGTGAGTGTGTTGGAGGAAGGCTATCACCATCATACAAGTGACGGTAATTGGAAACTCACCGAAGGGTCTTTGGTGGTGGCGAGAGGAAAATTATGTTGCTCGCTGTATAAGACGCACGTAATAATATATGTGGGTCAACTGAATACAGTTGCAGATGATGCTTTACCAAATTTGTGACATAGGCGGCTGACACACGTTAGTGAGAAAGGGTTGAATATATTGGCTAAGAAGTCCCTCATACCATTAGCCAAATGTAAAATAAACCCTTGTGATCATTGTTTATTTGGGAAGCAACATCGGGTCTCATTTCAGAAAAGCTCTAGACGGAGACTAGACGGAGAGACCAAGTTGGAGTTTGGTACACTCTGAACGTATGTGGTCCCCATGGAGGGTAGAATCAATTGGAGGAAGTAGGTATTTCTAACCTTTATTGATGATTTCTCAACGAAAACATGATATATTTGTTGGCACAAAAGACAAGTATTCAGTACTTTCAGCCAATTCCATGCAAATGGTGGAGGGAATAGCTGACTGGAGTGGCATTGAAATGTTTGCGCACGGATAATGGTGGTGAGTATATCTCTAAGGAGTTTAGAGATTATTGTAGTCAGCACGGTATCAGGCATGAAAAGACAGTTCTTAGTACGCCTCAACACAACGGCGTTGTTGAACGAATGAATCGCACCATTGTTGAGAGAGTCAGATCCATGCTCAAAATGGCCAACTTACCTAAACCATTTTGGGGAGAGGCTGTCAATACTGGTATCTACCTAATCAACCGACTACCTTCAGCACCTTTAGATTTTGATATCCCGGAGAAGGTCTAGACAGGTAGAAATATTTCATACACTCATCTGAGGGTATTTGGCTGCAAGGCATTCATGCATGTTCCGAAGGAGCAGAGATTGAAGCTTGATGACAAGTCAGTTCCTTGCACTTTTGTTGGTTATGGAGACCGAAGAGTTTGGCTACAGGTTGTGGGACCCAGTGAAAAAGAAAGTTGTCCGGAGTTGAGATGTAGTATTCCACGAGAATGAGATTGTGGCAGATACAACTTGTGAAGAATCCACAAGTGATTGTGTTGTTGATATTAAACCAGGATGCATTCCTACAGATGATGTCACGAGAGGAGGAATGCCAGAATCAAAACGAGAAGAAGAAGAAGAGCCAGTCATGGGGGATCAAGAGATGATTGTAGATGATGATAAGATAATAGTGATGCAGAGGGTGTTGAGCAGGGGGAGCCAGAGAACCCCATTCCACCAGAAGGAGTTAAACCTCAGTTAAGAAGGTCAACCAGAGAGCGTCAACCATCTACAAGGTACCCTAGTTCTGATTACATTTTGATTACTGATGAGGGGGAGCCAGAAAGCTTCTAAGATGTGCAATCTTGCAAAGACAGAGATTGCTGGACAAAGACCATGCAAGAAGAGATGAATTCTTTGAAAAAGAATGACACATATGAGCTGATGAAACTTCCAAAAGGGAAGAGAGCACTCAAGAACAAATGGGTGTACAAACTGAAGAAAGATGATGGCAACCTAGTGAGATACAAAGCTCGATTGGTCGTCAAAGGCTTTACTCAAAAGAAAAGTATTGACTTTGATGAGATTTTTTCGAGTTGTGCTAGGTCTAGTAGCCAATTTGAATCTTGAGTTAGAGTAGCTTGATGTAAAGACCGCATTTTTGCATGGGGATCTAAAGGAAGAAATCTATATGGAACAATCAGAAGGATTCAAGGTCACGGGAAAAGAGGACATGGTTTGTCGCTTGAAGAAGAGCTTGTACGGGTTGAAACAAGCACTGCGACAATGGTATAAAAAGTTTGATTCTGATTCTTTTTCATGGTGAATCAAGGATACAAAAGGATAGAAGCAGATCGCTTGTGTATATGTCAACGAAATTCCTGATGGTAAATTTTATCATCCTTCTCTTATTGTTATAATAGTTAATCGTTGGACCAGAATGCACATATGATTAGCAAGTTAAAGAAGTGATTGTCAAAAGCATTTGGACATGAAGGTATTTGGGATCGGCAAAGGCGAATTCTTGAATGGAGATTAATTCGAGACAAAAGTCCTGCAGGTTATGGTTTTTGCAGGAAAAATATATTGAACGAGTTCTAGAGAGGTTCAATATGAAGAATGCTAAATCAGTTAGCACTCCGCTTGCCGCTCACTTCAAGTTGAGTAAGAAATCATACCCATCAACAGAGAAAGAAAAAGGAGATATGTCAAATGTTCCATATTCTTCAGCGATCAGAAGTTTGATGTACGCAATGGTGTGTACAAAACCAGCTATCGCTCATGCAGTTGGCGTTGTGAGCCGATTTCTATCAAATCCCAGAAGACACATTGGAAAGCAGTAAAGTGGATTTTCAGGTACTTGAGAGGAACTTCAAAATTATGTTTAACTTTTGGAGGTGAAAAGTTTGTACTTGTTGGTTACACAGATTCAGATATGGCCGGTGATCTTGATGAAAGAAAATCTACATCAGGTTTCCTATTTACATTCTCAGGGGGAGCTATTTCATGGCAGTCGAGATTACAAAAAAGTGTTTCGTTATCAACGACTAAAGCAGAGTACGTTGCAGCAACAGAAGCAGGAAAGGAAATGCTTTGGTTAAAGCGACTCTTTCAAGAATTGGGTGTGCAGCAGGAAGAATATATAGTTTTATTGTATAGTTTAAAGTGAAAGTTAGACTTGAGCAAAAAATACTATGTAATCATGCACGAACAAAGCACTTGATGTAAGATATCATTGGCTTTAGATTTGCCATTTGAAGAGAATGCAGTTTCCAATTGCGAAAATCCACACAGACAGAAAATGCTGCGGATATACTGACAAAGGTCATTTCGAAGAGAAGTTCGAGCTATGTGTCAAAAGCCAAGAGTCCCACCATGTAGTCGGGAGGGGGAGAATTGTTGTGGGGTCCCTCCGACATGTTGGACCCACACAAGTTTGAACAAAGAAAAAAAAAAGGGCACATTTTTTTTTGTTGTTCAAAGGAGACTACGAAAGAAAGGAAAAAGCAAAAAAAAAAGTGGACGCGTGATTAACGCATCCATTCGGTGGACGCGTTAATAACGCATCCCCCTTCTCCTATAAATAGGAGAAGGTTTTCCCTCAAACAGATCTTACACAAAAACATAGAATAGGAATACATAATTGAGTGTAGAGAATTTTAGGAAAAGGTTCCTAAAATTGGGAAAGAGAGAAAATAGTGAGGATTGTAATTTTTTGGGGTGTTTTTTGTTTTTGTGAAACACTTAGAGTGTCATTATTTTTGTAATTCTCTTTTGTACCTACTATTTTTAGTAGAAGAATTATTCAAGAGGTTTTTGTCTCGTGGACGTAGCCCATAACAGTTGAAGGGTGAACCACGTAAATCTCGGTGTCCTTATTTTTCATCTGGCATTTATGGTAATTATTTTTAATTTTTACCGTTGTTATTATTTCTGGTTGATTCGATTGTCAATATCCAATACGTAATTATTGGAGCATTTTTCCGTAGACCCCACTCGGGATCAGTTATAATCCCAACAATTGGTATCAAAGTCTTTGGTTGGTAAATTCTGTCAGTTTCTATAAAGTTACTATTCACGTGAATAGTGAATTTTGTGAATAGTAAATTTTGTCAGATTCAGAATTCGACATGGCTAACGACGGGGCAATGATCAAATTGACGGATTCGAATTATTCAATGTGGAAATTCCAATTTGAAAGTGCCATGCAAAACCAGAAGAAATGAAACAAAGACAGTGGAGAAATTAAAAAGCAAAACATTGGGGTACAATCAAGTGAGAAATGAAAAAGATCCCAAGTTCTTGGAAGAATTAGAGAATATGTACAAGGCTACGAATGCTCAAGGAAAGAGTCTTCATGATGCGTAAGGTCATGAACTTGAAAGTGTCAAAGGGACGAATCAATTAACAAACACCTGAACGATTTTGAAGTACTTGTAACTGAATTAGCAAGTTAGCGGTATGTCCTTAGGAAGACGAGAAATGCAAGCATGGCCTACTGTTGGGATCCTACTGATAGTTTGGGATACTCTTGTGGTGTCATTGAGTAACTCCAGCTCCAAATGGTGTGAAATGGTGTGGTAACGATGTCTATGGTAAAGAATAGACTACTTAATGAAGAACTACGAAGAAGAGATGTTGCCAGTACCAGTTCACAAGTCCTTGTCACAAAAAATAGGGGCCGGAGCAAGAGTTGAGGTTGAGGGCATGTAAACAAAGGTGGATTCGGTGATCATCTAACAAATGAAAGGAAGCTTTGAAGCCATACAATCTCTAAAACACCACAAAAATTGTTGTACACAAAGGTGTTCAAACAGAAGACCTTATTTCGTTTTCCTATTGTTTTTGTAATTTCAGAACGTTTAGGTAAGCCACACCTCTAGATTTGCAGAGTTTCTCTACATGCACTTGTAGTAGATTCGCTTTCGCCAACAAAAAAAATTGGAATCATTTCATACAGAACAGTCTCAATATAGGACAACATTTTCTACATTGACTCCACAATCAAAATCGATAGTTTTAGGTAATATCTTTAAAAAGGATGAAAACACTTCTTTATTTGTAATTCCAATATTAACGAGAGTGTTATTGTTATAAAGAATTAAAATTTGAGTAAAATTGATAAAAAAAAGTCAACATTGGATGAAATTACAAAAGTGGATATTCTAAAATATTAGCCACTGTTAGCATCTCGTTGTTTATATAATAGTTTTAAAGATGAAGTGTTAGCTAAAGTGGTTATTTGATTACTTGTTAAATTTAAAATAATATAAAAAATTAATAGTTATAATTAGAAATTATCACTGAAAAATATAATAGGATATTTTCAAACATTTCCTTAAACAAGTACCAAAAACAATCTAATGTAGTACAGGTAATGATTCAATTATTGAAATTTTTAGCTCACTCAGGAATAAGGGCTGTTCGCATTGAATTATTATCCTATCACACAGGAAAACTTAATTGGCAGATTTATGTAGCATCATTCTTTCTATGGTTATAAGAGTCGCCTTTGAAATATTTATTTGGTCACTCATTTGTCCCCATCACAACTCAATAATTCTCCACTTGACCATCACCCGAATTTTCTGGAGCCAACCAGCGTGGCAACTGGGATGGCTACCCAAATTACTCAACTACCCTTGCACACGTTTATAATTCTATGAATTAAAAGAGATAAACAAATAAGGTTAGTTGGTAATTTTACCTGGAATATGGTGGCGGGCAAAATATGATAATGTAGTCGGTGTTGGCACACGTGTAAGTACTGGTCTTGTCATCGTACGCATAGCTATAGGCGCGTGGGCAAGCGTGTTTAAAAAATAGCGAATAGATAGAAGGCGAGCACGTGTCAGGTGTAGAATAGGCATCGCTACAACAAAACTGAGGTTCTCCAAATGCCTCACATGCGCTTCTACACGCCACCCCAACCTTCCTGTTCGCACGCGCTGCTAATTTCAACTCCATTGGGCACGCTCCGTTTAGATCAATCAAACACCCGGTGGCGCCGCAACCGCCGTTGGTCACTTTCTTTGGGATCAAAAGCATAGGGAGATTGTACCCGTCAACTAAGCTGACATCATAAAAATCCAATCCTCCGGCGCCGTTTAGAGTGAATTCCGCTAAAGTAGCAGGCGGAATAGCGCCGCTCCCGCCACATTCGAGCTTCCCTGACGCACAATCGCCAGTAAGACAAGAAAATTTACCCGAAGAATCTTGGTTACAGTGAGTCCGACCCCACACCCGACCCGACCAGGATCTGGGTATATTTACTGTCTTTGATTCGCCGGTTTCGAGAGTGAAGCCTGTGGTCGGAAGCTGTGCCGTACCGGCTCCGGAAAGTAAGCCAGGCCAGACCGTGTAGCGGCACTTGTTGACGAACTTGAAAGTAGCCGATTCAACATCTGCAATAATAGAAATCGAAAAAAAATAAAGCAAAAGTAAAGAAGAAGAAGAAGCAGCAGAAATTGTCAGTGGAACTAAGTAGGAAATACCTGAGGGAGAAGAAAGCAAGAGGAGAGCGAGAAAGGTGGCGGAGAGAGAGTGATGGAGATGATCCATTATTATTGATTTAAAGAGATATGAGAAAGACAAAGAATTAAATTGAATTGAATTGAAAGAGAAAAAGTTTGCGTTCGAGAGTGAGTAAGGAACTTTACTTTTCTTAACAAGAAAGAAGCTAGTATACTAGATAGTGTCTGTGTGGGGATCTCTGCTTTTGTTAATTGCACCTTTTGTTTTTGTGGTTTTTGCGCTCTTGACTGTTGACCCCGTAACCGTTTTTGGGCGGCTATTTTATTTAAGGCGGTTATTCTTCACTATTCAAAAGTCCTGAAAACAAACAGTTAGCAGTTACGGGGAAAAGCAATTGGGCAATGCCTTTTACTCACAGTTCCTTTCTAGTAATATTTGAATAGCTATCAGAAAATTAAAGTAAAATTAAAATGTTCATGTTGAAACTGAAGTGTACTCCTGTGCAGTGTGCACAAGCGTAGCTAGCCACAATGAAGAGAGGAGTAGGCAATAATTTTATGTGCAAGTCCTGCCTCAAGCTTTAACCATTTGCCTTTTTGATTTTCTTGATAAAAAGCATTCTAGATTATAGTAGGCAAAGATCAAAGTACAAAGCCTCCGAAATAAAAGGAGGAGGGACATGACCCCACTCCTTATAGCCAAACATTGCCAGACATAGAACAGACATTAATCGCTAGCAAATGGTGGTCAAAACTTTCCTAGGCAATGGTGTATTTAATACATGAAGAAATCAATGACATAGTACAATTACAGTCAATACAATACTGATGTATGTGTATATGCCAAGTTCCTAAGATTAGCAGACATGGTAATTTATACAGTCACTACGCTTGCCATAGAGACCTCAGCCATATCAGACGCCGAGGCCCTTTTGATCGTCATGAATGCAATTGCATTCTTATCATCTTTGAGAACATGGTAATTTATACAGTCACTACGCTTGCCATAGAGACCTCAGCCATATCAGACGCCGAGGCCCTTTGATCGTCATGAATGCAATTGCATTCTTATCATCTTTGAGAACATTAACAGCCTTAGTAAATTCAGTGTCATTCAATTCTTGTAATTTCTGCAACTCCTCTAGGCACTTTTGATACATAGTTTTCTCATTCAACACATTCCTTTGCACTGCTCTCAATGTGGCTGCTGAGAACATCTCATATAAAGCGTTCTCTAATGTCTCTCCAACATTATCACATCCTCGTTTCTTCCGACCTGATGCTGACGCCACGCCAGGTTTGCGCTTCCTTGGTTGTGTGTCATTTATGCGAATAATTGAATCAGAATCAAGAGTACATTCAACTACTTGTGTAGCTAAGTTATTAGGCTCAAAGGATCTCACTGTTTCTGTATTGCTGTTTCCTTCTTCAGTTTCAACAAGTAATCCCCCCGGAACCAGAAATTTCCCTGTGACTCTTTCTCCTGTGCCAGGCCAGTCACTAAATACCAGAACAGCTTTAAAACACTAGTAACAAAGAACATGGGATTTACCTTCAAATATGATGGACATCTGATTATACAGAGGAAAGCTCTTTCTCCGAAAAGGTCTTGCTTCACTTCGTACCTACAAATAGAAACAGTATGTCGTAAGCTTCTTTCAGTGCATCAAAATGTAATCTATAAGTTACTTACAGAAATGTAGCCATCCCAAACTTTATCATCAGCCACAACCATTTGACGTGTTTCATCCCATCCAAATCCAGTATGACCAAGCAGCGTTTTAACAACACCATAATCTTTTTTCATCACATTGTAACGGTTTTTAATCTGGCTTTCTTCCAAATTCATGCCAAACTTCTTGTTAAAATCACGAGTGACGGATCTAATCACTTCATTTTTAAATTCATTATAGGCAGTCCTTCCGCAATTATGTTGCTCAATAAAAAGCTCGACCAGATAAGCATCACGTGTTGGCGTCCATTCTGCCTTGGGTCTTCCTAAGACTCCATCCTGTGCACCAGACATCCTGTATCAATTTGCTGACGACAAAAAGGAAAACAGAATGAAAACCATATAAGAGTAGAAAAAATCAAAAAATCAAGTAAAGTGTTGTTGTCTTTTATGCAATATTTAGATTTTCATGTCCACTTTGAAACATATGTGAGGAGACATGAGGAACACACTAACGAGCAAAACAGAATGATTCCCCTCTACAGTCAGAAATGTATGTGATTATTCCGTTAATGCAAAATATTAGTTACTTCGATTTTTTGTTTTGATTTTAAAGACCACATCAGATGATTCATTCTGTTCATCTATATAGCAGTATCTGTTGTTTTAAATCTGAAGAGTGCATGAAATGAATTACCATCATACCAGTATCAATGATTGCTCAGTCAATGAAAACAGTTCATTTGACCCAATCCCTGTATGCAGAACAAGTTTGGTGAGAGCCGGATCTCTTGTTACATGGCAAATTCAATCCTTATCCAAAAATATCTTCTTTCCTTCCTTGTATTTGTTTCAATTGCTCTTTGTAACCTGAAACTGCGGTGAAATTTATTGTCAGTGCTGAACCTGAGACCAAAACTTCTTCGGACCCCAAATGCAGTTGCAAGTAGATCAAACAACAGATAATCCGACAAAGGTAGGTCCAGCAAACAATGCTTCACATATAGCTCAAAACAGGTGATTATTTCACTCCTGTAACTATCAAGGAGATGTTTCAACATCCTCATAAACTTTAATTAGCTAACCTCTTGAGCTAAACCATTAGCATATGTATTGCTATAAGAGTTACCAGCACACTAATAAACGTAACATTAGTCAGTTTGAAAAAGCGAAAAGAAAAATGAAAAGGTTGAGCCGATCATAATGTTAGCATAAAAAATTGATTCCTTCAAATCTTACCTAAAAGAACAAGAAGGATTTACATTAAGAGTGTTTGGAGACCCCAAACACAGCCTTACATCACCCATTCAAATCTATGACTAGAAGCAAATTCACATCAATTACTTTACCTAAGTGCATTTCTTATTTCCGAAAAAGACAAAATGCTTAATAGCCTGAGTTTAATTGAAAATACCAACGAAATAGGTCATTGAAGCACCCATTCAACTTGTTTTTGGTTTAAATTATCCAAGCATCAATTCTACTTTAAATTGATCATCAAATTATCATATAATATGACCAGTTTCATTATATATGACAAGTTCTCAAAACTTGATCCAATATAGTAGTTTGCTTTTGGTAAACACCAATTTTAACAGCAATCAAGGTTGTTAAGCTTGCATTCTTGCATTTTAATCAAGAATCAGAAAGGGGTTTTCAAATTCAAATTGTAAAATTGTAGAATATAACAAATCATGTAAGTAGTCCTTAAAAATTATATTTGTGTGTTTTTAATACAATCTTAAGTGTAAAATTCAAATTATTTTATTTTAAAGTTAATACTTCTTTAATTTTGAATGTTTAAAAATGATAATAAAGCAAAAGTAATATTCTAACAATGAATTACACAACATATTTATATATATAGCAAAACATAAATAACAATTACTATACTACTGCCTATATTCCATAATACTTCTCACATTTGGAATTTCACGCTCCTTAAGAAAGCCATTAAATTTATCTTAGTTACAATAAATTATTGAGTAAATTGACTATATTACCCTTAATTTAATACTAATTCTAAGAAAACCATTAAATTGAAATAATAATTATTAGTCATATACAAAGGGTAAACATGAAAAAAAAAATTTATTACTTTTTGAAACCACAATTGTGACAAGTATTTTTGAACAAATCATTTACTCAAATGTGACGGTATTATGGAACGAAGGCATTATTTAATTACTAATTAAGTAAATATTTTTTAAAGAGTATAATTAACCAAATTTTAATTTCAAAAACTTTAACAACATTTAATGGTTTTTTCAAATAAAAAAAGTAATAAATTTTATAATACATTAAAGAACAATATCATAAAGCATAAACATTAAAAATATATAAATTCAAAATTGCAAGATTTTTATCATAAACTCGTATAATCTTAACCATTCTACTGCTAAAAACGAGATTCTAATCTGATTTTAATTAATTCAGAATTTATGTATTGTTTTTTATTCGTTTGTGTGTTTATAACTTGTAAAACCGTAAAATCAGACATAAGGGGCAACTCGCCAGAGTAATGACTGTGATTAAAAACAAGCATTTCGTAGCCAATTAGTTCAATCACTAGCATATGGAAGAGTTAAAGATAATACACTACACGAACTCAGTTTCCTTTGTGATTTCCATCACTTCCACGCATTTTCTCAGTAACCAAACAAAACATAACATTGATTTTCCTTTTCGTGAGAGTAGAACCTAACTTTAAGATGCGCAAACATTAAAGAGAAAGATCCGTAAACAGTACCTGGAATGTCGGGAACAACACCAGTGATCGTAGCTCCGACGACCGGCAAATGGTGTAACGGTTATGTAAGCGCCTGATTTGGTTTAAGTGGGCAGTTTAAAGGCTAAGATTATGGGAAAGTAAGAAAAGAAAAGAAATTATATATTGCCACGTCAGACAATCTTCTAGATTATTTATGTCTGCATGTTTCGGATTTTTGCTGGCGTTTCTATTTTTGGGCTTGTAATGGGCCACTAAACCCTTCAACCGACATTCCTAGCCATTTGAATTTCTTTAGATCCTCTATATGCCCATTCCTTTAGATCCTTTAAAGTGATTTCAGGTGATTAATGTTTTCATTTTTAGTTTCCATAATGATTGAGGTTTCTTTTGCAATTGCTTTATTTATTTGAATAATTTTCAAAATAAAATCTTTATAAAAAAATTATAGAAACGACCATTCAACTGAAATTCTCTCAACAGTGACGACTCTAAATTTCAAATCAATGACCTTATAGATAAGATTTGCACAAAAAAAATATAGCTCACTTCTATTGGTTCAATTGCCGATTACTCGATTATGGTGAGATTTGATGCAAAACAAATTTATATTTGAATAATTATAATATTCAAAGTTGTAGTCAAAACTAGAATTAAAAAATCTACTAAGGTAGTATTATCATACCAAATGCTTCAAAATTGTCAGCAATACGATGCATAAGGAATGATTATGGTGCTTAAAATATTGCTTTGCAACTTAAATTTGAATTGTATTAAGCAAAATTTCTAAGTAAGCTTTTGAAGCACAAAGCATAGGTTATAATTAATTGGACAATTCTAAGAAAGAAAGAGAGGAATATAGAGTCATATCAAATGGCAAGAAATACAAATAAGACACAAAGTCACAAACACAATGGAATGCTTTCTTGTGCTTTGGACCAAATGCAGCTTTAGTGGAAATTGACAAATGGACTTTGCATTTAGGATTCTTTGATTCTGAAATTTGCTTCCAATGTGGAGGCCATAAAGGGAAGTTAGTATTATTATGTTTGTTGATAAATGGGTTCAAATCAATATAGGCAGCCAATGCTCTAGTATTGGGGTTGACCACAATTGAATCAATAGTTATATAGCACACACAATTGACCAAAATGACCCCACATTTTGTAATTGCTTCCTAAGTCAATGCAGGTTTCCAATCCCATGCTCCCTTTTTTAGTACCAAAAAAGCAAATGTGTTTTTTCTCTTTTGATGAAAAAAAAATAAAATCCAACAAAAATTCTTCCATTATTGAAAGGCTAAAGTTTGATACAGTAGGGGACCCTTAAATCATTTGCTAAACATCAATATATGTTAAAAATCTCCTAAGCAAGCTTCACTACATTTTGTAAATATATATTCTTTTCATTAATGCCCAAGCATGAAATGATTTAGTGATTCCCTTGAATGGAAAATCAACTTGACTCTAATTTATCCGAGCGTGATCAACATATTTGAATAGCAGTACGACAGAAGCTATAATTATTAAAAAAAATTATTTCAAAATAACAATGGATAAAATTAAAAAAAAATATTGAAAATTGTAAAATTACTACACCTGATTAAAAAAGAAAAAAAAAGATACATATTAAGTAGTTATATGATTATCCTTTGTAGTTATATACATATATGATGCAAAAGATTGGAATGATAGCTATAGATGATTATTGTTCATCATAAGTTACTTTAGCATGATCTATCACAGTTGTGATTCATTCACCTTTTAGCAGGCATGGCGTGCTAAATCCTTTTACATGCTAATTTTTTATGGTTAGTTAGCTTGTCTTGGTGTTCATTAATTATAATAATTATAAGCAATATTTCATTCCCATAAATAATTAAAGAGAAAAAACCACCATAAAAAAAAAAAAAAAATTCAATCATCTGCTTGTTGTCTAATTTCTAATGGTGCTCCCCATTAATGTTAGTGACTCATAAACATATTTAGGTCAAAGACAAAGATGTCACAATAAGCATGCCCTGTCCATATTCATCAATGTAAGTTTCCCATTATAAGAGATCATAACCCTCTCTATCTATTTGTTTTTGAGAGCCCACTAGAAGCTTAACAAAATAATTATTTCACATGATTTTTTTTTTTTTTTTTTTTTTCCTGTCCATATTCATCAATGTAAAGTTTCCCAATTATAAGAGATCATAACCCCTCTCTATCTATTTGTTTTTGAGAGCCCACTAGAAGGCTTAACAAAATAATTATTTCCACATGAATTTTTTTTTTTTTTTTTTTTTTTTTTTGTGGGTTGTGGTGTGATTTGGTAAGGTTCCAAAATTTTCAATGCTTAAAATGAAATCAAAGCATAATCAATTATTTATCCATGCACAGCTACTACAAAAACAAGGTTATTGTTTACCTTACTATCTGAGAGTAAAAATGATTTTTTGAGATTTGGAAACCCACCCTTGTTGTATTGTCGAAATGCAATAGGTATAACCTTTTTTTTTTTTTTTTTTTTTTGTGGGTGTGTGTGATTTGGTAGGTTCCACAAATTTTCAATGCTTTAAATGATCAAAGCATATCAATTATTTATCCATGCACAAGCACACAAAAACAAAGTGAGACTTACATCTGAGAGTATGATTTTTGATTTGGAAAACCTTGTGTATTGTCGAATGCAATGTAAAAAAATGAATTAATTGTTTTTTTTTTTTTCTTATTTCTGTTTGATCAGTTCTCATTTATATTCAGTTATTTTATACAAAATTAAACATATATTTCGAGGAGATATCCAATTAAGTAATTCATGTTAGGATTAACTATGTCGTAAAAATTTTCAACTAGAAAGTAACTTATTGAATAAAAATATTTTGGCAGATTTTTTTTTATTTGATAAACAAGTTTTCATTATTTATAAATTAAGGGTTATTTAAATATTTAGAGTAGTATAACTAAGAGTGGGCAGTCTGAGAAAAAAAAGTTCTTGAATTTTAAAAATTGAGTTCGAACTCAGCTCAGTTTGCTTATTTATATCATAAATTAAGCTTGTGCTTAGCTCAGATTTGCTCATTTATGTTACAGACGGCTTAAGATTAAGCTTCGTATAGTTCACCATCAATGTGACTCATTTATAGCCCCATAAATTGAGAGGAGAGAACAAGGTTTTCTTTAGCTTAACTTTTAGCTTACATATATATATGATTCGCAGATTAGTGTGTGATGATTTTTCTTATATAAAAAGATCATTCTTGACTTATGGGTGGATCCTATGTATATATATATAATCCAAGACTAACATGTGCCTTAGTAATTATTTGTGGAGTCTTTAAGCAAACTTGTAACCAAAGATTGACCAACTACATAGGTTGTAGGTTAAAGAATTGCCAATTAGAACAGAGTGAAAAAAAAGGTAAGCTGGTAAATATAATTAGCCTTGGAAATAACTCCAAAATGTACAGTACTGATGTTAAGGACATAAGAAGTAGTAATTAATAATTAGAACCCTCAATTCCAACACCAGTTCACTGGCAGTTAAAATACAGTTACTGCTTTGTTTCAGTAAGTGGTATATTAATTACCCTTTTCAAATCAACCATCAAAATTAATACTTTCTATACATATATTTTGATGAAAGACAAGTACTTAAAGCTTAAGCTATATATATGAAACAAGACAGCAATATATAAATATATTGGTGTTCTGGCTGTAGTCAAAGGAGACACAAGTTACAGTGAATGTTTCTGGTCCCTGCTATCACTAGAAACTACCAAAGCATGACTTAACCAGAAGTGGGTATGGTGACCAACAAGACTTATGAATATGTTTCACTGCTCTAAAACAAAGTTTTCTTTTCTTTTTTTAACATTTGGTTGTGTCATGCCTTTTCTTTAATAATATCATTAGGGTTTCCTTTTCTATTTTGTACAAAGACAAGATCATTATGCTTTTTAATCATGAGAGAAAAGATAACCAATAACATAATCCTCTTATAGGTCACTTGTTTCAAATTCAAAAAGATTAGGGTATAGGCAAGAAAATTCAAGGTAGGTATAGAGAATGGAAAATGATTAATGTATTCTTGAGGTTTTGAGCTTTTAAAACCTAATTTTGAATTAATATTTTATATTTCTTTTGTAGTTGATCTTCACAACTATTGATTCCTTTGATTCTTCTACTCTGCTTTATAGCATCACTTTTACTTGTTACAGAAAGCACTGTGGAAAAGTTCATACTGTTCTATTGATCAATTTTTGTTCCTCTCTTTCACTTTTTCTTACCCATTGCTCCATAAATTTCAAACTAAAAGGCCTTCCTCCAAAAAGTAAGGGGGGGAATTTCTACTTTGAAACCAAATTTTTTGTAAGAATTTCCTTCAAATTGATTTTATTTTGCCTAATTTTATGTTTGAAAATTGAGAAATTTACAAAATTTAATTCATTTAATATTAAAAATTTATTATAAACGTAAACCACAAATCATTTTAAATTTAATTTTCAGCGAGAAACCAATTCAATAAAATGCATTATATTATAATACTATAATCAAAGAATCATTCAACTTAAATTTCATTCTTTGATTCTTATAAATTTGAGAAAGAGATATAAATTAATTTATTTGTAAATATATCATCATAAAATCACATAATAAAGCCCATATAGATTTTTTAGGGAAATATTAAATAAAATAATAAAAGGAGATGCCTTTTTTGAAGGGCTAGGTTCCCATATGGTCCATATATTTTTGTCTTATATAGGTGAAATTGTGCAGATATTATAATTATAAATGTAACATGTGTAAGGAATTTTGGAATGAGGAGAGGAGAGGAGATAGGATTCTCGAGTTTAGAAAGGGCTTTGGCCATGTGATAAAAGCAGCTTTCTTCTTCTTATAAAGCGACCACGCCCGTTTGGCTGCAATCATGTGGTCTATTTTCTTATTATTTCTTTCTTTTTTGGTCTTCCATGTACCTTGTGTTTCTACATATCATTGTCTTTTAATTTAATTTAATTAATTCAATTTTTTCTTTTAATTTCTACTCATCTCATGCTTTAATTATTAGAGCAACGCATTAATTGATAAATAAATGCTCTCTCCGTTCTATTTTAATAGCAATAAATAAATATTTTATCTTATTTCTTTTTAAGTGTTTATTTTGGATTTTGAGGATGTATTAATTTTTTTTTCAATTTTATCCATATTTATTAGGTGTTCTGTAGCAAAATTAATAGAGAGTTTTTAAGTTTAAGAAGGACAATTCAGATATTCTATCATATATTTTTAGAAAATTGTGTTCTAATCATTTTTTATTTTTTGTAAAAAGATCAAATGTTGCTATTAAGGTGGAACGAATGGAGTAATAAAAATATCTAAAAAATGAAAATTAACTACCCATTCTTCTTCTCTATCCCCTTGGGATTGAGTTTAAATTTTTTAAATATTTTTGTTAATCTAGAAATATTTTCAAAGTAGAAAACTTAACATCTTGTTACTTTTTTATATATATAAAAAAAGAGGTAAATTGATATTCTTAAAATCAATGTTTATGTCTTCAACTAATAAAATCTACTTTGAATGAGTTGTTTATTAATATCACATTTTAATGGCTTTTAAAAACATATGTTTGGTTTAGCAATTACAATTAATAATAGGTAAGAAATAATTAGTAATAATCAAATTTTTTATTGTTTTTAATTATGATTTTATGAATCATAAATCAGTAAATTTAGATATTTTTTCAACCATTGATGTTTAAGTGTTTGAGAAATGACCATTAACTTCGTTAATGCTTAGCTCAAAATGAATATAATATAGGGAAATACATGTCTAAACGCCAAACTCCAACCAGAATTATCATTAACTCTTGCCTTACATAAAAAGCAGAGACCCACTAGCTATATACAAGGTATGCTTTGTTTTACGTATTTATTGAAAAAATAAATAAATAACTGTTTTAGTGGCTTAAATAATCTTCATTTCTCTTGTGTAATGCACATATTCCCCCAGTCTCAAAATATAAGTCGTTTAAGATTTTTTATAAAAATTAAAAAAGTAATTAATTCGCCTAGATTATAATAAAATCAAGAGTAATTTGACCAAATTATCATTTATTCTTTATATTTTGAAACAAAATAATCACTTAAAAATATTTATATTTTGAGATAGAGAGAGTAGTTTTTAGCGCATATTGATTAATTCTCGAAGTTTATTTCTGTTAAATTAGTTTTCGATAAAAAAATGTCATTTTTACCTTTAATAATAGTAAAAAAAAACAATGGCATATATTAAATTATTTAGTCTTTTATACAAAAAGTATTATTCTAAATATGAAGTACCAAATATAGTGGCATATAAGGCAAATGATCTCTTAGCTAAGTGACAAGGGTGATACTTGTGGGTTAAGAATATTTAGGTCTAACCTGAAAATCGAACAAAATAGACACATTTTAATTTGGTTCGATCAACTTTTTGAAAACTTATTTATCGTTTGGCTTGACTAGCGATAACAGTTTAGTTTTCAATTTCAGTTCGGTTTTATATATAACTAATTTTTTATGGCAAAATACACGATTTGGTTCAAAATAATAGAACTAAAGTAAAACTGATTTGGTTTGATCCAATTTCAATTTCGATTATCATGGTAATGCATTTAGTCTACTTACTCTCAAATGATGTCTTGAGATAAAAGACCTCAAATTCTATGTTCACTGCGTTAATAATCAATTATTTCTTACCCGCTAAGGCATTTACTACGGTTAGGAATGAAGCATTACAATTATTTTAAGTAATTCGTCTCGTTATCCATTAAAAAAAATATGAAAATTATAAATGAATTTGCAACCGTATAAATAATAAAATTATTATCCGAAACAGATATGAATAAAATATTGATATATGTTTTTGGATATCTACTACTATCTATTTATTATATTAAATAAATTTGGTAGTAAATACCCATGAACATCCAATTTATTATTAGTAAAAAATATATTTTAAATAAGTTCATAGTTAAATAGTTTAACATTTAACTCGGGTCAATTCATGTATATAAGTGCATTAAGATTTTACCACTAGATTAAGCTTGAATTCTCCAAGTTTTTTATTAATTTGATGAAATTAAAAAAATTATTCTGATTATATAGCTCATAATGCTATTCTACTGCATTGAGCTTCCAAATATATAAAAAAAATAAAAATTAATTAATAACAAGAATAATAATAAGCTCGGGAAGCGGGGCGACCCGCTCGTGCGGACTAACCAATCACGCTCTCTAAAATAATAACACTTGTAATTAAAAAAAGAATAATAATGTACTAAACAACAAGAATTTTAATTACAAACAAGGGGTTCAACAACCATGATATTTCCTAAAGAACCACAACAACTTTAGTTTCTTTATTATTAAGCTCCAAAAAGCGGATTTAACTCGCTTCCCAAAACCGCTTATGTGAAATCCCTTTCAACCACAGCCTTTCTCACTCTTCTAGTTCTAGATCTCCCTCCCTCCTGTCTTATATATATACCTCTCTACCTATTTCCTTCTCTTCACTTCAATTTCCAATCTCAAAAACCCTTTTCTTTATACTGCAACTCCATAAGAAACAGAGCAAAGATGGCAGCTGCAGCTGATAAGGTAGTGGAGACGGTCATTGTAGGGAATTATGTAGAGATGGAAACTGAAGGGAAACCTAAAAACATGAAATCAAGATTATCTAACTTCTTATGGCATGGCGGTTCGGTTTATGATGCTTGGTTTAGTTGTGCTTCGAATCAGGTTTTTACAGTTCTAAATTATTAGTATAAAAAAAAAATCACTGTACTGTACGGAATTTAATTACTAAAAATGGGTTGGTTTCGTTATTTTCAGGTGGCTCAAGTATTGCTTACATTGCCATACTCATTTTCTCAGCTAGGAATGTTATCTGGAATATTATTTCAGCTATTCTATGGGCTACTGGGTAGCTGGACAGCTTATCTTATTAGCGTTCTTTATGTAGAATACAGAACCAGAAAAGAAAGAGAGAAAGTTGATTTTAGAAACCATGTCATCCAGGTTTTCAGCTTACTTTTCTTTTCTTTTCTTTGTTAGTACAAAGGAACAGAAAAACACTACACTCTCTCTTTACTTCATATCCTAACATGGGTTATTTTTATTTTATTTTATGAAATAGTGGTTTGAAGTTCTTGATGGGCTACTTGGAAAATATTGGAGAAATGTGGGTTTGGCATTTAATTGCACATTTCTTTTGTTTGGATCTGTCATTCAACTCATAGCTTGTGCAAGGTTTGTTCATAGTGATCCTTTTAATTTTTCTTGTTCTTGACTCTTGTTTTAACTTGTTCATCATCAATTCAAATTATATACATGTAAAAGAAAAGGGATCTTGTTTTAAATTTATTTAACGGCTAATTTGTTTGTATTTGCAGTAACATATATTACATAAATGACAATCTGGACAAGAGGACATGGACATATATATTTGGAGCTTGTTGTGCCACCACAGTTTTTATTCCTTCATTTCATAATTACAGAATCTGGTCATTTCTTGGCCTTCTCATGACCACTTACACAGCTTGGTATCTTACCATTGCTTCTCTCCTCCATGGCCAGGTTAGTATACTACTATATATACTATAATAGAATCCATGTTACGACAATCTTGTCCTGTTTCTTGTCAAGAATGAGAATCTCAAAGACACAACTTGTATTTTTATATATATTGAAAATTTTTAAAAGAAAATCCTGAAACAGGGTTAGTCTCGTACTCCAAAAGGGTATAAGAATACTCGCGTGAAAAAAAAAAATTAAATCGATTTATGTTGATTAAGGTGTAATTAGTAAAGGATTATAACGTGTTTGGTGATGAATGTAGGTAGAAGGGGTGAAGCATTCGGGTCCAACAAAGATGGTGCTATACTTCACTGGGGCCACAAACATTCTCTACACATTTGGGGGACATGCCGTTACTGTGTAAGACCAAAAGCTTGGATTTATATATTTATTCGTGTCTTTTACGTTGTTTACAAATCTATCCTTATGTTTCCTTTCAACTGTTAAAAAATGGTCTGTTTTAAACTTTGGTCGTAGAATAGATGGGTACAACAGAATAAAAAAAACATACATATAAAGACAAGACTGTAATTTTTGAAAATGACTAAACCTTTTGGTATGCGTATTCAAAAAAGAAAATTAAATAAAGAAATAAATAAAAGGAGAAAATGACTAAACATTCATTAGGGTTAAATATGTACTGACCACGTGACTTTAATTTAATAATTATTATTACTATTTTCTTCAATTATCTTTAATTTAAAACATATGATATTTTGATTTTTTTTTTTAATTTCCTAAATTGACCTTTCTTAGGCGTGGGAGGCAAAAAAAGTCTTGGTTTCCTTGGGAACCCTACCTTCCTTTTCAATGTAGAAAGCCAATCATCTTTCCATTTATTTTTTTTGCTTTTATGATGAGAACAGACCGATTAGGGGTCCAGTGATTCTAAAAAGTAAAATAAACAAAAAAAAAAAAAATTATTACAGGGAAATAAAATTAGATTAGGTTTGGTGAGTCGTCCGGTGGCCCATTTTGGTTCGATTATTCATAAATTAATTAAAATTTTTTACAGAGAAATCATGCACGCAATGTGGAAGCCTCAGAAGTTCAAGGCCATTTACTTACTGGCTACCGTTTATGTGCTGACCCTGACGCTTCCCTCAGCAGCAGCAGTATATTGGGCATTTGGAGACATGCTTCTTAATCACTCCAATGCCTTTTCTCTCCTCCCAAGATCGCCCTTCAGAAACATGGCTGTTATTTTAATGCTCATCCACCAGGCATGCACCCTTCCTCATCATATACTTACTTCCCTTAATTACGGAGTATAATTAGCTATAATTGGTATGATTATAATAATAATTTAGTGTTTAATGGGTGCAGTTTATAACATTTGGGTTTGCATGCACTCCATTATACTTTGTGTGGGAGAAAGCAATAGGGATGCATGAATGCAAGAGCTTATGCAAAAGGGCAGCCGCTAGATTGCCTGTGGTAGTTCCTATCTGGTTCTTAGCCATCATCTTCCCATTCTTTGGACCCATCAATTCCACCGTTGGATCACTCCTTGTTAGCTTCACTGTCTACATCATTCCTGCCTTGGCTTACATCTTTACATTCAGATCAGCGGCCGCTAGAGAGGTACACTCTACTCTTTCCCGCATCGTAACAAAACTTAATTACATTTACTAAATTAAATTTTAAAAAAAAAAGAGAAATTCCACGTGGAATATCTGAGCAACCTGCTTGTGTCAGACACATAATGCATGTCAAAGTTTGACTGAACAGAAGCAGAAGAATTAAAATTCATTAATTAGCTTAATAAAGAAATGTGTAAACAAGAAGAAATGTACATGGATGCAGGTTCATAGCGTGTGGTCACAGTATAGCAGACCAGTACCTTACCTTTTTCCTTGTTTAAATTTATAATAATGGGTTAAGCTCGAGTTTATATGAGATTGAATTATTATAAATCAGCCTGAGTCAAGTGAGTTCTATTAAATTCGTGGTCGACTCAATAAAAATATATCGAGCTTCGTTCAAATTTAAAAAATCAAGTTCCAACTTGACTCGCCACGGCTTAACTCAAAAGTGGGTTTTAAGATTTAAAATCAGTCTGATAAATTATTTTTTTGTATAAATAGGAAAAGGTCTCTAATAAGTGGGTCTTAAATTGGTAATAATTAATTATTTAAATAGTTAAAAAAACAACAGAAAAAAGGCACAAGATTCTTGCTGCAACATTAATTCAGAGCATCTGGTCGTACCTTATTCCCCATATCGGAAATGTACTTTATTACACATTGTCTCACTTTTCTTGATATGACGGATCCTACTGTGCTTTGGGGTGTGAGCCCCACTAAGTTTTTATTCCAACCGTGAGATATGCCACGCGGATGATGTTCTGACTTTTTTTTGTGATGAACGGTTGTGATGCAGAATGCAGTGGAGCAGCCACCCAAGTACATGGGAAGATGGGTAGGGACATACATGATAAATGTATTTGTAGTGATCTGGGTTTTCATTGTTGGGTTTGGATTTGGTGGATGGGCGAGCTTGACAAATTTCATACACCAAATTGATACATTTGGTTTATTTACTAAATGTTACCAATGTCCACCACCAACATTGCAACCACTTCTAAATGCCACCGCCGCTGCTCCTCCTCTCCACCACCCAAATAACAACCACACTCACCACCTTTGATTTTGTGCCCACACCATAAGATTGCTAACGTACGAAGTTTCTAGCCCTTCATCTTGATCTTGATCATGATCATCATGCCACTTCGGTTGGACCATAGACAGAGAAGGTTAAAAGAATTCCTAGATTTGTCTTTGGCTAGTGATAATAGTATCATGTACCCTCCAATACAAATATATATTCTACCTTTCTTTTTATTGTCTTTCTGTGTCTTGTATTAAGCTTAGAAAGTTGTATGAATTTCATTAAACCAAAAAGAAAAAAGAATTAATGTATGGAATATTTTAATTTTAATTTTAGACTTTCTTATATCAAAAACGCCTATTGCTTATATATATATACCTACCGATATCAAAAAGTTCATGGATTTTGATTACGTAGAGCTCCAGTATTGCATAGGTGCAACTATTCCGGCATGACAATTTTCATATTTAGGACTCGCAAACTCGGGACTTTTGTTAAAGTAAGAGTTTCAACCACTTCATCCCGACCAATATTGATAAAAATGACTATTAAGGAATAGATCATATTAACATAATATAAATTTATTAATTATTAGTCTGTGATCGAGTATTAATTTATCTCATTAAGAGCCTAAGATTAGTAAGCAAAACACGAGATGAAGTTTTGAATACTTCAATTTATACATGAAGTTACTAATGCTAAAAGGAAGTCACACATAGACGTAAACGATTTCAACTTCTCAACTCCAGAATCAATTTTGTTAGACTGGTTGGGGTTAATTTGTTTAGTAAAAAAGAAGATCTTCAATTTTAGAGTTGCATTGGACAAGCTAAAAGGCTGTCCTCTAATGGCTGTCCACATTGTTTTATAACATTCCTTCTCCAGATTTCCATGAAAACAAAATTGACATGCGTTACATATTCCTTGCTTTTCTTGTTTCAAATTTGACAAGTCCCTTCATACGGGAAACATATAAACACATGCAGAGGATCTTGAAAATGATAGTTCATGCAAAAAAAGAAGAAAACAGGCCTCTATTATATACGTACATATATTATTGCTTTTCCTATGTATTTTTCTCCATGGCTCGTTCGTTGTATGAAAAAGCAAAAGCAGACAAAAACCCTAATAATTAAAGTAGGGAAAAGATGAGCGAATGACGTAAAGAATGTAAGATGATAACAATGCAGTGTTGTGTTGGAATCCAATAGTAATAAATAATAATAAGAAGAATAAGAATAGGAATGCAGAAGAGGCCATGCATATCTACTTCCAAGCTCATAGTAGACAGTACAAAGTTGGCAAAAGTTAACTTTTATGCGATGAGAAAGCAGGCACATCTTCTTTTGTAAGAGCATGCGAACCCTACATATAAAACAAAAAAAACCCAGCAGTTTAAGCTTCTTACTTTGCCACCTTTATTCGCTGCCCAACTGCAACACATTGACATTGACAAAGGAGAGACATGCATTTACACTATTCTTATACATATATATTGTCAATATTAAGAATCCGTATGGGGTGAAAAGCCAGTTAGCTACTGACGCTTTGGCATTCATCCAGTTAAGTCCAAATAACTCTAAATTACTTAACTTTCATCTTATAAATTCTAACCATTCTAACCTCTTGTCCAATTCAACTCTATCTACTTTATCATATCGCTTGTTCTTTATTAATGCATAATATTTGAGAAAGCAATTCAAGTACAGTCAATTAAGAGAAGTCATTTTGTCATTCAAATCAAATAAAGGACTAGTAGCCAATTAGAATATTTATATCCTTGTCAACATGGACTTTTCATCTTTAAGTAAAAAGAAATAATATTATTTATATTAGTCTTATTATTCAGAATAATTTAAATAAGTCTTTTTAATTTTTAAAATATCAACATATTCTATTGATCATGGTAACGAGTTTGACCGATACAATTAATGAATTCATATTTCTTAAAGTAAATGGTGTTTAAATATAACGATCAGTTTTCAATTTAGGAGTGAATATTTAGTCTGTTTGATTCAAACTGAACTAGATGGAGCAAATCGAACAAATTTAAGTTTTTTGAAATGAAAATCAAACCAAATCAAATGATGTATTGAAACCAAATTGAATCGGATCAATTTAGTTAGATTTTAACTACTTTCAAATGGTTTTGGTACTTCACGAAAACCAAACTGAACCGAGAAAAAAAAAACTTTGGTTATTAAAACTGAATCCGATCTATTTGTGTTAAAACTAGAACCAAATTGATTCGATTCAATTGATTTAATCAAGGTTACCCCGTCCCATTCAATGTAAAGGAAATCCTTATAATAAAATAGGAAAATTGAATTGAAATAAATGAAATACAAGAAATTTAAAAGGGAAGGACGCAGAGAAACATATAATCTATTAAAAGAATATTCCTATAAACATGATTTTTGTTGTTGATTTTCAGACCCTCTATTTTTTACTTTCAACATCTATTTTTGAGGTTCAATATGAGCTTTCATACTACATGGGCTCTTGTTATGGGCTTCCATCTTTTACATAGCTTGGTTTGTTCCCGTTACCTTCTACTGGCTATTTGAAAACATTTAGAAACTCGCTACTCAAACAGGCCATTTATCTTACTCGCTAACTCAAACAGGGCCATTTATCTTATATATATAATTAGTATTATATATATATATATATATAAACAATTAGATAAAAAAATTAATAGCTAATTGCCTCGCTCAAAATGAAAATAAAATATAAACAATTAGATAAAAAAATTAATAGCTAATATGCTCGCTCTAAAATGAAATAAAAAAACATATATTTTCATATAAAAAGCTTGATTACATAAGTAATATTTTAAATATATTATGGTGCATATAACTTAATCCATAACTTAACTAATACTAATTTGCTTGTAATACATTTTAAAATTATCTTATGCATTTATGTAATAATATAATTATTACTAATTTAAATTAATTTTAAAGTTCAACCCGAATAGAGATAGCTCAGTAGCAAAGAGCACTTACAGGATTGATCACCATGACTTAAGTCATGGATTCAATTCTTAGCAACACAAACTCAGCCTAGACCAGTCCCTTTGCCTCCGAGCTCGTGCAAGTATCAAAAAAAATTCCTAGTTCAATGATGGTTAAATTGGGTTGAACTTCTAATTAATCCTTAATTCTTTATCTTTACTGGTTGAAATGCAGGGTCAAGTATGAAAATCTTGGTCATTTCTCATTTTATATTCAAATTTATTAAATTCTTTTTTTTAGCAAAATTTATTAAATGCTTTTTTTTACTAAAATTTAAGTCCTTCAAAATTTTTAAATTTTCACTTTTAAATTTTATTTTTAAATAAAATGAAAATATGTTTGTATAGGATGACCAACAATTGAAAATTTTTAATTTTAAAAATATAAGTAATATTTTATTCTTATATCTATGTTTTCTATATATATTGAGACATATTTATTAGGTCATATTGCAATTGTAATGACTTTTAGATAAATAATGATATAAATTAAGCTGAAATATGTGTGTATATAGATACTGTTGTTTTATTAATTAATCGTTATATTTGCATTAATTTTATATGAAATTTTATTTTAATATTATAAAAATTTAAATAATATAAGATAAAGAATATAATATTTAATATTAAAAAATAAACGAATATAAATAATAAGTAAAAAATGATTTATAAGATGCTTTATATGTTATGCATTTGATTTGTTGTAAATGTTGTTGCATTGTTTGTGCTATGCGGAGTGATTTAGGATGAAGTAGAATCATGGGCATTGGACTTGGTAGCAGTCATGCTTTGTCTCGGAGATGTGGGGCCGGGTAGGAGGAGTACTATCGGGTAGCAGACATGCTCGGCTGTATAAAACGAGGTGATTCTAAATTACCCATGTGTATTTAAGTGCGATGGTTTGATTATTTGTGATGTGCTCTTGTTTGTTATAGTGTGAATGCATATGTGATCATATAAAAAATTAGAATTAACTGGTAATTCTATCATATTCTACGATTATATGAGTGAGAGGATTATCGAATCGTATTCACTGAATTTAGATGTTCAACTCTATTTTAATATTGTTTCAGGTTAAAAAAAAATTTCAGGTTAAAAAAAAAAAAAAAAAAGAGAATCTTATGGATCTAATTAGATTGAACTAGAGATGAAGAAAAATTATAAGTAGTCATATAATTTTATTAATTACAAATGCTTATAGAAATAAAAGATTGTAATTTATAGATTTCCGTAATTATATTTTAAGTGAGTTGTAATGATAAAATATATGTGTTAATATATATTGTATTCATGAAATATCTATGAGATTGGATTGAGCATTAGAATTGTTGGATAGGCCCACCGGCCTAATTGCCTGAGATTGATTCTTGATGGGCCTGAAGCCATATGCATCAATTGTGAATTGGTTCATTTTAATTTAGACTCAATACGAGTCTAGGAGGTTTTAAGCCATTCAAATTCTAGTGTGGGTCTGGCCTTTGAAAACGGGTCGTGCATATTTCCTATGGGCTACTTCATTTCCCCGTTTATATATAGTATATACATATATTTGAAAGTTTTATTTTAAAAAATACATCCACTTAAATTATAAAAAACATAAAGAAAAAAGAATATTAAAATAAAAAGAATATATTTTTTCTCTTAAAATAATATCTTTTTTAAATCATAATAAATAACAAAATCATATATTTAAAAAATAAATTTGAAGAGTTAAAAACTAAAAATTTTACAAATCTCTTATATTGTCACATATATTTATTTAAACAAAATAAAGTTGAAATATTTAAAACTTAAAAATCTTAACTATCTACATACTTTTTAAAAAAAATTAATTTTAATAAAATATATCCAAGGTTCCGAAATATTTTAAGAACTTTAAAAATCTTAATCTGATCTACATACTTTTTAAAAAAAATTTAATTTTAATAAAATATATCCAATAAATCAAAGAACAAATTTTATATATATAAATATATATAATATAATATCTATATATATATATAGGTATACTATATAAGTATTATATATTTATTATTGATAAAGTTTTTTAGATTATTTTTAGGTTGACATCATCTTACATAACACGAAGGAGTATTACTAACCAGTAAATCTTAATCATTTATTGTTGTTCTCATTTTCTCACATTTTAATATATAATATAAATTTATAAAATTATTATAACTAGACTTATAGAATTATTCACATTTCTCTTGTTCTTTTTTTTGTTGAAATTCATTTTAATTACTTATCTATTTTGGTTTTACTTGGAATGAAGTTGTACAAAGTAATATCAGCAGAAATACGCTTAACTTAACCATGAACTTAAGACTAAAAAATCTCTCTAGTATATCTCACTAATATTTAAAATCAATCCTTGTAGCTTACTCTTAAAGGCTTCAACGTATAGTAAATAATCTTAGAACAATTGACTTTGGGGAAGCTTTGTTGTAAAAGAGACCAGGGAAAGGCTTGTTGCGGATTATGGAGAACATTGGTAAAAGTTTTGTACATTGCCTTTGCCCTTTCAATTCATCAACATATTTAATTGAAAAGTTTTTAGATTATTTTAGGATATCTTAAATAACACGAAGAGTATTACTGTAAATCTTATCATTATTTTCTCATTTTCACATTTATATATAATATAAATTTATAAATTATAAATAGATTATAGAATATCACATTTCTTGTTCTTTTTTTTGTTGAAATTATTATTACTATTTCTTTTGTTTACTTGGAATGAAGTTGTACAAAATAAAACAGAATACCTAACTTAACCATGAACTTAGACTAAAAAATTTTATAATATTCTAAATTTTAAAATCAATCTTGTAGCACTCTAAACTTCAACGATAGTAATAATCTTAGACATTGACTTGGGGAGCTTTGTTGTAAAGAGACAAGGGAAGGCTTGTTGGGATTATGGGAAACATTGTAAAAAGTTTTGTACATTGCTTGCCCCTTTCAATCTCATCACAATCCCCTCTCTGTTTTTAATACTATTTTAATTGATTCAAATTATTATTAAGTACCTTAAATTTGATAATAAAAAAAAAACGTTTCATTTCTACTGTTCTAAGAAATTATAGTGAAATTCATAAAATTTATTCTCGTTAAATTAATTTAATTCTTGCGTTCAAAAAGTAATTTGATCAAATCTGATATACTTTGTAGTAATTTATCTTTTTATATTTTTTTTCATGGGTTCAATCTCTACATTATCAACCAACTTACATATCGTTTTATTATTATTTTCCTATTGAGTTGTATTTTATTTTCCACATCGCATGAACTTTACTTTAAAATTTTCAAAACAATAAAACAATTTTTAATTGCTTTTATTCAACAGCTTTCTAAGAATGTAATTTTCAATTAAATCAGAATCCACCAAAATAAAAATTTCAACTTTAAGAAGAAAGAATATAACTTACAAAATAAAAAGTCTTAAAAGCAATAAAAATAGTAGTCTGTTTACATGGTATTCAAAATGTGGAAAATAGAAGTTGACATATGGACCACTTCTTTTGTTTCTATTATCCCATTTTTAAAGGCCTAAAGAAAATCTAAATTTATATTTAAATTTTTACAAGAAAATTCTAATGGGATTACACGTTGAATTCTCGTAAACGAAGAAAATTCGATATAAGCGATTTCTCTTTTTAGGCGTGAAGCAATGCGAGTATGATTAGATTTAGCACAATGAATTACGGACACCTGTGGTATAAATAAAAAATTTGAACATCCCAGTATAAAAATTAAGAATGCTAATAATATATTTTTATAAAGTTGAAATATTAACTTTTGTGTTGAGCCAAACAAAATCATATAAAACCATATAATAAAACTACAAACAATTAATTATTCCAATAGTGCTCCAAAATGTCCAAATGGAGTGATGGACCACTAAGTAGTACAGAGTATAAGTGACTAACAAACAGTGACAAGTCTTGCAATTGGTTTGCCTTTACTTTGCATAATTCATGAACTTCATACCCTATGTATTTATGACTTTTCTAGAAACAGAAAGCTGAATTACTCTATTGTACAAAAATGTACTGGTGTTAATATGTATTTTCAAAAATTAATTTAATAGCTTTTCTACTTTATTTTTATCTAATTATTATATTCATTGTTTAAATTTTCCATCAATTAACTTTGAATTATTTTTAAATTACTATTAATCCATATATTATGGAATATTATGTTAATAAAATTTTAATTTTAATAACTCGTATCTTTTTCGATTTTTCAATTTTATAGGTCTTTACTAATTTGTTAATTTTTCAATTATAATATTAAGATTAAAAATTTAAGAACATTTTTATTTTTTATTTTTGTTTTTCTTCATTCTCAATTACGTAACTCATTTTTATTTTTTATTTTTGTTTTTCTTCATTCTCAATTACGTAACTTAATTTTAATTTTAAAACAGGTTTGAATTAACAGGATATATTTATTAGATAAGAATTCAAAAACTGTTAAAACTGTTGATATTTTTAAAATTATTAAGAAAATGCAATTTTAATAATGTATTCATATAATAAATAAGATATAGTCATTCATTTAATTTAAGGTTACTCTTCTTGAAATGATAATGAAATAGTATTATAATGAATATGAGGAGAAAAATGGCAAAATTATTAATTCTCCTTATGTATATTTTAGTAGCCGTTAATTGTTCGTTTCATAAAAAACCAAAACTTAAAAACCAATTCATTAACCCAAAAGGCACATTGTAATAGAATAATCTTAATTCAATAGAACATGTACTTTGTATGAACAAGGAGTAAGATGGACCCAACCAAACCAGCAGCATGTATATTTAATTATATAATAATTGTGTATACACATCTTCCATAAACAGTGAGAGTTCTACAATTACAACATGTAATTTTTTTTTCACCATTAATTCCCAATTTTCTCTCTACTGCCTGCCACTCTAATTCAAGACCAGATTTCATAACCCTAATCATACTAACATTAAACCCAAACAAAAACATGACATCACAATCACCAAATCCTTAAAACGCTGAAACTTTAAAATAACCAACATAGTAGATAACCAACATAACCTATTTGCCAAACAGATACCCTAAACCAGTACCCAAACACCCAGGAAAGATGGAACAATGCAAAATGTTGTCAAACCATTTTACATGTTCGACTCGTTGCCCTAGCTTAGCGACCGCTGTTTGGGCACTCCCTAGCAAAATGACCAGATCCTCCACAGTTGTAACAGTTTCCTCCTCCGCCGCCGCCGCCGCCCCCACTATACCTGCCTCCACCTCCACCTCCGCCACCGCCCTGTGGACAATCTCTAGCCATATGACCCATTTCACCACAAGAAAAACAGCCACCATCGCCACCGCCAGAAGATCCATAACCACCACCGGACCTTCCTCTACTACCACCACCGCCACCATAACCGCCACCTCCATAACCGCCGCCGCCTCCGTATCCACCTCCACCATACCCGCCTCCTCCATAGCCGCCGCCTCCGCCGCTTCCTCCACGACCACTTCGTCCACCGCCTCCGCCTCCACCGCCACCGCCACGAGATCCCTGAACAGGGTTGCCGCCGGGACCGGTGACCTCTACGGCCTTCGTACGGCCGTCATCAGAGTGATCGATCTGAAACTCGACCTCCTCGTTCTCGCCGAGGCTACGAAATCCCTCGGACCGGATGGAGGACTGGTGAACAAAGAGATCTTCACCACCATTGTCGGGAGTTATGAATCCAAACCCCTTCTGGTCATGGAACCACTTGACCTTCCCTGTCAGTCTCTCTCCACTCATCTTCTTCGCCCCTCTAAAAACCCCCCCAAAAAGAAAACAAACAAAAACCCTAAAAACACAATAAATGTATAGAGAGAGAGACTCTGCAAATCTGAAAAATCTCTCGCTGGGTGGTTTTGGCGTTATAGGCGTGGGGTACTTATATTGGAAATGGTGATGCTGCCACGTCAGCCGGTTTGGGGAAATGACACGCTGATGCTTGTGGTTCATCTAACGGTTGGGAATTTGAAGTGATTCGATTTGGACCGCTGGATTGAAGTCTCTTGGCTTGTCCAATTTGGTCCTTTCTCCATGTAGATAGAGTAAAATATCTTTTCCGTTGCAAGGGTAACTTGGGAATAGGAGAAGAAATTCGTATGTCTCCTTGGATAACCTGAAAGTGGGGCCTACGTAAATCTTATACTGAAGTGAAAAGACTATTCTATCTGGAACTTGATTTTTAATTCTTTTTGTTTCAATTTTTAATTTTTTTTTTTTTAATTTTGTAGAATGGTTATTCATTGAGAACGCAGAATGGTGGAAGACTGGTCAAATGGTCAATGGTCAGTCAAAGCAAGTGTAGGATTGGACTTGTCTGTGTCTTGTCATTTCCAATCCCATCCATGAAAGGTACAGGCTTGAGGCTTCTCTGCCTTAAGTAGCGGCTACAGAGGTTTCGGTTCCATTAACGAATGATTAAGCATATGAAGAGAGTCCTATCAAAACTTGAATTGATCATTAATGTTTCCATTTGGTTTGGTTCAGGTGGTTGTTGCTTGATCTCGGTATTGATAAAAGGTCCCTCGATTTAATGTTAAGCTATGTTTGGAAAGTAGGAAGAAAGTAAAATAAATGAGGAGAAATAAAGATGTAAAATGATACGGTTTAGTTTACTTCTTTATTTTGCATTCATTGTTTGGATTGGTGTAATATAATTTTATTATTATCATTATTACATATGAATAGTAATTTTTCTACCATTATTTCTTATTTTCACTCCATTTTCAACGAAAATTGTACAAGGTAAAATAAATTTATTTTACACCTTCTTTAATATTTTTATCTAGACCAATAAGGTAATTTGACACCCTTTATTTTAAATCCTCTCATACTTTTCTTATTAAGATCGAGCCGAATTGAAACTCACGAGCCATCCAATAGATCTCGTTGGATTTTAATCCTAAAAACATTTAGAGATATACTAAAACTTGAGCTTATCCTTTTGATCTCAATTTGATTCAAGATTGAGATTTCAGAGACAATTTTAATTGAAGCTTTTTCTTATTGGATTCCAAGAGCATTATTAATGTGGTTTTAAGTGGTCAATGTTATTAACTTTTTATTATGATTAAAATTAAAATTTGAATAGGTCTTTATTTTTTTAGAGAAACTCTCTCTCACCATCTTCTTTTTTGGAAATGAGCATTCAATTCAATTAATTGTTCAATTTGGTCAGTTGATTTGAAAATTTTTAAATTTTCAACATCTTATTTTTTTATAAAAAGACTGATCAAACTAATATGTAACATTTTACTTAATTGACCTGAATAATTTTCACTCAGACCAACACCCATTCATAAAATTATTGGTATTTCATTTTCTACTTTATTGATAAAATTTTTTTCTTTCTTCAGTGATAAAGTCAGGATTTTTTTTTTCCAAGGGCCAAAATAGAAAACATACTGTACGAATTAGACAACTTGTCTTTAACAAGATGATTTATTGTTTGAATTGAAGTGATTGAAAGTAATTGTGGTGTTGTTATACTCGTGCAAGAGTTTGAAAATTCAAAAATTTAAGAGGTATCCTTTATTAATTACTATTCTTGAATTGAAAAAAGATAACTTCAGGGTACAAATAAGTCAGTGAATTAGGACTAGGAAGTAAACGACGAAACACGAGTGGTACGCAAGCGAATATGAATAACGTGGATTTGTACTGATTCCTTATCTTCATTTTCATTTTCATATCTCGATTTGCATCTTATTCATTTTTATCCCCATCTTCAAATTCCTCACCATTTGAATTCTATTTTTTTTTCGTTTTTAAACTTATTTTTCTTTCAAATGGAGTCTATCTATCCATCCTTTAAATCTTCGTAATCAGAAGTATCTTTTCCAAATCTTATGGTTCTAATCTTATCTACAAAGAAGCAAAATGAAATATTGAGTGACCCCTTGGATGGCTTCGCCATATTTTAGTATGATTTAATTAATCATTTTATTAATTTTAAATTTTAAAATAATTATTTTTCAAATTTGGATATATAAAATTAAAGTATATTTCACAACAAAAGTTTAGACTATATATATATAATCTTGAATCAAAAAATCAAAAAATATATTTGAAATGTTGAGTTTGCATTCTATTTTCTCAGCAATTCTTTTTTTCTTTTTTTACAGACTTTTGATCTTTTTTCTTTTTTACTTTAATTTGATTGCCTATAAAAATATTTTTAAAGATTTATATTGATATTTAAATTCTATTTGAAAATTAAATTTAATAAATTTAAGCAAATCTTTTTCTATATAACTTTAACAAATTTAAGCAAATCTCTTTGTGTATATCTTAATATTTAAATGCTTTTAAATTGATTTTTTTTATCTCTCTTTAACTATTTATCCTTTAGGGAATTTACATACCCGAGCATGACTCAAATGTGCAAGTTTGTGAATTTTTCTTTAGAGGTGCATGTTTGTGAGCTTTTCTTTAGTTTTTTTATTCTCTCATGTTGATTTACTGTGTCGATGAATAAATGATCCATGATTTTTTTTTAATTTTTGACAATTTATTATGTTGTGATCTATTTAAAACTTGGATGTTATTATTTATTATACTCTTGAAATTAGATCAAGAGCAAGAAAAGTTTATATTTGAAATTTGATTTTCAAGTAATTATATAGGTATGAGTAACTGCATTTATTGGTGGCTTTGACATGTGATGATGCAAGTATAAATCCAGACTACATGCTATATCCATTTAGTTGCCTTTCATTATTACTAAACGACAGAAAAATTAATTATTTAGGATTTTTTTTTTTGGAGATATGAAAAACGCCATTACAGAGTTAGGGTGTAATAATCTTATTCAGTTTAGTTCAATTTATGTTATGTGAAAGTGTATGTGATTTTGGTATTGAATAAATTACTGTTTTTTCTTATTTATCATGATTCACTTGCCTTTTCATTATGCTCTTTTATTCTTTTTTTCAAGCTCTTCTATTTTTCATTTTTTTTCTTAAATTTTTCGTTAGCAAAATTATATTTGTCTAATTCATTTTTGTATATTTCCATTTGTGTAGTTATCAGTTTTATACATATTAAGAGATTGTAGGCAAATTAATTTTGATATTTTTGTTTTAATTGATTTGTTTTTAGTGTCTATTTTTAATTTTACTCTTGAAATTCATTTTTTATTCATTTTCTTTCAATTTACTTTCATTTTAATTTAACTCTAATGAAATATTATGAATTTTAGATTAACCTAAAATGTTAATAGAATCAATTTTAATTTTTCTTTCTTTTTTCTATGATTTATAGAATTAATATTTAATAATAATAATTCAATTATATTTTATTATTAAATAATTAAATTATAACTAATATTTATGTATATGTTATTCATATTGAGTTAGCAAAATTATATTTATGATCTAGATTCATTTTTAAGTAAGGTATTTCCTTTGGTGTAGTTTTAAATCAGTTTTATACATATATTAAGAACGATTGTAGGCCAAATTAATTTACTCGAATATTAGCATTTTTTGTCCTTTAATTGATTTGTTTTTTAGTGTCTATTTTAATTTATACTCTTGAATTCATTTTTTATTTCAAATTTTCTTTCAAATTCTCTTTTCATTTAACTTAACTCTAACTTGAAACTATTATGAATTTTAGATTAACCTAAAATGTTTAATAGAATCAAATTTTAATTTTCTTTCTATTTCTTTTTTTCTAATTTGATTTATAGAATTAAATATTTAATAATATATAATATTCAATTAGTATTTTATCTATTAATTTATAAATTAAAATTATAACTAATTATTTATAGTATCCATGTTTACTCTCATCATTGAATTATTTGAAATTAATCAAAAACTTTATTATATAGAATTTATCAATTACAAGATAATTGGTATTTTTAAAATTGTTTAAAATAATAAAATTATAATTAATACACTTGACATGCTTAAATTAATATATTATTATTATTATTACTATTATTTAAATTAAATTATAATGAAGTAATCTCTGTAAATATCATTTTTAATATGTATATATACTAAATAATTTTATAAAATAATAGTATAATATAAGATTAAGCACGCGCAATGCGAAATTCGTTCAACCTTAGTTTATTTAATAATATCTTAGTATTATAATTATTTATTATCGAATTTACTTAGCAAGACATTTTTCATTACAAAAAAATTACATTTAATAATTTTCATCATATTTTGACTTACCATTCCAATAAATCATCTTGAAACTATAAGTGTATAAACTGTTCATTATGAGAAATAAATTTAATGAAGTAATCTGCTGAAAAACATTTTTTAATAGTATACTAAATAAATTTATAAAATACAATGTATAATAAGAAAGCCGCGCAATGCGCAAGCGTTCAACTAGTTTATTTATAATATTTAGATTTATAATTTTATTTATTATGAATTTTACAAGAATTTCATAAAAAAAATTACATTTAATAATTTTATCAATATTTACTACATTCCAATAAATATCTTGAAAATATAATTATAAAATGTTAATATAAAATATAAAAAATCAATATATTATAAAAAATATAGAATAAAAATATAAAAATGAATATATTATAAGGAACATCTTCATCGTTTAACCTCTACAACCCTCACCATCACCACATAGTTAGTGGTGACCAATTCAAAGCCAAAACTTCAGATATCTTACACAAAATCGTATCTCATTTCAATAAATCAATTCGATAAAAAATGTAACAAACATATCTATCTTTTAGTCTAAGAAAGGTGTGGTTTACATATCTAGATTTAAAAGTGAGAAGGGAAATGTTGAAGGAGAGGGAAAGCAAGGAGGAGAAGAGCAAAGAAGAAAACCCTAAGATTCTTCATTGTCGCCATGTATGGGGCAAAAGCTTGATAGTGGTGATGG